GGGTTATCTATAATTGTGTCATGATATTTGGTATACCATTTCTGCTATGAGTGTATATGTCTTCATACCATTTTTCTCCTCGTAGTAATACTTCTTATTTAACGAAAGATGCCAGCGGGACCCTCAACCAAGCCCCTTTCTCGCTTGCAGTATTGGGAGTGCTCTACTGGCTATTGGCTCGCATCAAGGCTTTATGGCCGCGGATCCGGAGAAGATAAGCCTGGCGGGCGGCCTTACCACCGGCGCCTCGCTGTCCGACGGCGACGCGAAGGAGCGCCAGGACGATGACCTCGACTACCTGGTGCTGCCAGTGAGCAACGTCGGCAAGGGCCTGGAGGGCACGGACGCCGTGGCGCTGGACATGAGCACGGTGGTGGACGACGACGACCTCAAGATCGCGAAGCCGAAGAAAACGTTCCGGTTACCTGCGTCGCTGAAAGCACGTCTGGCGGTCAAAAAGAAGCCGGTGATCACGTGGCGGCCGTACGAGCGGCAGATAAGCTTGGACCAAATGCCACAGATCACGCCGGAGGAGATCAAGTACCGTCTCGCGGGCGAAATCCAGGGCAGGATGCCCGAGGAATTGCCCGAGCACCTGCCCGCGGGCGAGTTCGAGGACGAGTGCGCCTTCATGTGGCGAACCATCGACGACGACTCGGATTCCTTGAAGACCGCCATGTCGACGCAGAGCGAGGACCACCGCTACGACGCCGCCACCCCGGACACGGGCGTCTTGTCTCACTACCGGGACATCAAGCCCAACCAGACGGAGAAGAAGCAGGACTGCCCGCTCATGGCCCGGATTCCTCCGCGGCCAGCCCCTCGCCGTTCGCTGCGACGAGCGCGCTACAAAACCCGGGGCCGCATGCGGTGCTGCTCCTGCTCACTGCCGCTGCTGAGTTGCCCTCCACGCGGCAGCGTCATCATCCTTCCAAATCTGGTGAAAAGTATTAGTGAAAACTCAGTGTTCCTCGAGGTGGCGACGCGGCGCCTCAGCTCGCACACTCGATCTCAGGACAAGTCCCAGTACACGACCAAGTCACAGTCACAGCACTCCCAGCACTCTATCAGCTTGCCCTCCTCCAAGTTAACAGTTAATGGTAGACAATCCTGCTCGAGTCTAGGCCATCAGGAGTCCCAGTGACGTCACAGAAATCCCCGACTCCGTTAGCAGAGTTCGGTGGCGTCGTAGAAAGAGCGGGCTCAGTTCAGAGGCGTAAGTGAGGAAGATGTCGATGATACGCGAATGTGGCCTCGGCTAGATTGAGTCAGCATATTCCATTTCTTACTGTTGCAACTGAAAGTGTGTGTGATATATGTACGAGACAAAGGGAGAAGGGAAAATACAAAAAATGTATAACCAATGTAGTGATGTCAACCTTACCTTGCTCTGTTGTTGATTTATCTGTTGAAGTCTTTATTGCAAGGTTATGTTATATTCTCTGAGACCGTCGTCATTGTTATTTTATATGCACTTGTTTGTGTACCACATGGATAACAGGCTATGGCCTCTAAATATTTGTATATAGTGCAGTTTTTTTACTCCTCCATTGTGTTGTTTTTGTACGATTTAATGACTCGTGTGATCTCCCTTATCACATTTTATACTTATATCATCACTGGTGATATTCGGTTAATATTTGAATCAAATGAAAGGCTGAAGGAGCGCGGTGATTGGTTGGTTTTCCGCCAATCGTCGACATGCCATCAGCCCGTTTGATCAGAGATCCCAATTCTTTCTTTTTCTTCTTTTATCTCTTTTTTGTTAGGAATTTCAAAGTCTTATATTATTCCTCTGATCGAACCACATTCATTATTTTTTATCCTTGTTTATGTTAGATTTTATACTGTGTAATGTACGAGGCATATTGGAGACACCAGAAGCTAACTCCCAACTCATTTACTTCAATCTTGCTCAATCAACCTAGCTGACAAAACAGACGTCAGCTGACAAAGTTGACGTCAGCAAATCACATCCACAGCATCAGTATTACTCAGCTGCGTTATCTGTTTCGTGTGACTTTTATCTGCGAATAAATGTAACACATTCGAATAAGTACACAACAATTCAAAAGGAATAAAATAAAAGACGAAAATACAATACCGTGTTGACATGACGATGGATGAGGAACACAATACATCCAACACAAACGAGAATTGGATGTATTGCTGGTTTCGCGTTTAACATTACTGGATGATAACCTATAGTCCAATTCACTCCCTAAAATCGCAGAGGATGTTTTAAACTCTTGAAAAAAAAAACTATTAATGATTAAAAGAACAACAAAATCTAAACCCAAATCCATTCAAATTCGTCGAACGCAAATGAAAAATTTAAAAAGAAAAACGAACTCAAATCAAATTGCCTTTTCTTTAACAAATTCACTGAAGGAAAATCTAGCACAGTTTACGGCGTCTTCGTCTCTTCTAGTGTTAAAACATTCCAGATTTTGCTCTCTTGGGCTGTTGATATTCTGAAAATAAATGATTTTGAGGGATTCGAGATTGTATCATTTTTCCTCTGGTTCGATTTTTCCGATTTTTTTATGTCTTTTGCACATTTTGTTATTTTTCTTCCTTTTTTCTTCGTATTATACTTCATTTTCTCTCTGTTTTTTGTATATTTACTATTCCTATTTTATTCACTGAGTAACAGTCTTTCTACCCTTTATTGTAGTACTGTACACACACGAAAACATGTACATACTTTATTTTACTTGTATATAGATCTGTGTGTGTGTTTGCAAACATGTATATATAGATAGATAGATATGTGTGTGTATGTGTGAGAAAGAGAGAGAGGTCGTTTAAGTTTATATAAATATATATATATATATATATATATATATATATATATATATATATATTGTATCGTTACTTTCCACACGATAATGAGTGCCAATAATAATATTAGTAAAGACATTGTGAAACGATGCAAGGATTCTAGTCGCAATTTTCATAAAAAACATTATTATAAAAAGTCAGAGGAACATGCTCACTAGGCAGCGCGCTGATGTGTTCAGGTGGCCAGTTCCTCTCCGCCCCGACTTTAACATGAGAGTCCTCACTCACAGCCGAGTCAGCCGAGAAGGGCGACCGGGCGCGGGCCAGGATCTTGCAATTCCAAAGCCGGCGTTCAGTCACAGAGCAATGGCATTTCCACTGTCATCATCAGTAGTAATAGTAGTATTTTTATCATTACTAGCACCGTTATCATTACTAGCATCATCATTACTATTATTAATATTATTATGATTATCAATATCATCAATATCATTATCACCATTTTACATATATATATAAACATGTGTATATGCACACACACACACACACACACACACACACACACACACACACACACACACACACACACACACACATATATATATATATATATATATATATATATATATATATATATATATATATATATATATATATATATATATATATATATATATATATATATATATATATATATTATATATACATATATACATATATATAGACACACAGGGAGAAAAAATATAAATACATACATACATACATACAAATATATATACATATATTATATATATATATATATATATATATATATATATATATATAGAGAGAGAGAGAGAGAGAGAGAAGAGAGAGAGAGAGAGAGAGAGAGAGAGAGAGAGAGAGAGAGAGAGAAAGAGAGACGGACATATAAACAGACATAAATCCAGACTGACAGTCAGACAAATAGATAGATAGATGGAGATAGAAGGAGGGAGAGGGAGTGACAGAGAATAGGGGAGAGACAGTGAAAAAGACAGGCAGACAGACAAAGAGAGAGAGATATATAGATAGAAAAGATAGAGAGGGAGGGAGGGAGAGAAAAAGATACAGACGGATAGAGAGAAAGAGAAAGAGAGAGAGAGAGAGAGAGAGAGAGAGAGAGAGAGATTCAGACAGACGGACAGAGAGAAAGAGAGCGGGGAGAAAGAGACAGAGAAAGAGAGAGAGAGAGATAGGGTGGGGGTAGAGAGCGAGTAAATGAGAGAGAGAGAGAGAGAGAGAGAGAGAGAGAGAGAGAGAGAGAGAGAGAGAGAGAGAGAGAGAGAGAGAGAGAGAGAGAGAGAGACAGAAAGAAAGAGAAAAAAACGTATTTTTTTACATACCTAATATAATAATCGTAGTCGTTGTCTTGCAGGACTAAAGCCCCCCCCCCCCCCTTCCCCAACTAGACAATGATAAGATACGTAAATTAATATGGTAATGATAATAATGATGATAATAATAATAAGAATGATAACAATATTGATAATCATAATAGAAATGATAATAATAATAACAATAATAATTATTTTTATTACAATAATGATAATAATAAGATAACAGTATTGATAATTTTAATAGAAATTACAACAACAATGATAATAATAACAATAACAAAATTGATATAATAACAATAATAATAACAGTAATAGCAACCAAATTGACCTTAGTAATGATGATAATGACGAAAGCAAAAGCAAACCACCGAAGTTAGTCACTTCCCCACCCTCACCGTACCTCCAGAGAGAGCCCCGTGGGAGAGTGCCGAGTGAGGGCCACCTGTTAGCCCGCGGACCACTCATCATATCCTGCCATACCACCACTGGGACCATAGAGCAGCTGTTTGACTTGCGTCCAAGAGTTCTCGATCAGAGCAATGTGAGCCCAGCGTACACTCTCAGAGGATGGATGGGTTCTCCACAAGGACAGGCTGAGCTAGGCACGAGTCCCCACCTGTGGAGGTTGTCATTTGTACGGCTGACCTTGGCTCTTGCTCTATTTAGAGTCACCCATTCATTCCTTCTGAAGGACGTCCCGCTAGGAAGGGATTCCGATGGAGGTGGAAGTGAGGCATGGGGTATTCTGTCTCATTCCACCCATTGTTCCAGCCGGTGTTGTGCTAGGCTACGTCCTTGCAGACCAGGGGTTGTGGCAAAGCTCTTGCGTGACGCAATTCTTCGCTGAACCTCTGGGTGGCCGTACAGTGGGTGTCGGCGGTCAGTTGGCTGTTTACCATGTTCTTGCGTTGTCAGGGCATCGCGTCTGCTGGCAGGTGGTGCAGTGCTAGCAAGACGGTATAGAACTGGTAGGGGTGCTGACTTGGGGCTGCCTGAGATGATGCGACAAGCTTGGTTCAACGTTGCGTCAACGGCTGAGGCATGGCAAGGCCGTGCCCAGACTGGAGCACAGTATTCATCCGTAGAGAAGCACAGTGCTAAAGCGACTGTCTTGTGTTGGGATCTGTGCCCCATTTTGAACGCATCTTTTGGAGAAGAGTGTTTCGACGATTTTTTTCAGCTTTCGGATGTGCTCTTTTAATGACGGAATTCTGTCGTGTCACACTTAAATATACTGGATACATGTTTTCCAGAGTTTTGTTTTCCTATTGGACTTTGAAGTTTCGGTTGGCTTGGTGGTTGTTTAAGTGGAAGGTAAAGACGTGCTTTTCCAGGATTAGCATCTCATAGTGTGTTGAGAGAGATGTTAGTGCTTCTGTTAGTCTGTTTTCTATAGTTTCAAATGATACTGACTGTGTTGCAGTGTATAAGTTATTTGCATAGACGAATCTCCGGACGTTATAAAATAGGGGCTGGTCATTTGTGTAAATGTTAAATATCATGGGGGCAAGTACAGAACCCTGTGGCAGTCCATTCCTCTGAAGTCTCCATCGGCTTCTTTTGGAGTTCATTTCAACAAAGAATCTCCGGTTGTTTAGTAAGGGACTGCACAATCTTGACAACCACTGAGTTTTTGACTACAGTGAGGAGGAGAGCCTTGTGGTTGACAGTGTGATATGATGCGGTAAGATCAATAAGCTCGGCACCAATTTTAAGTTAATTTTCAAAGCCATCTATGAACTGCGTTAAGTACCTGGCCGCTGCAGGAGCGACCAGGTCTGAAACTCGCTTGGTCATGTGATAGTTGATAGATATCGGTCTGTAGTTCTTTGGGGACTGGATCTTTGTCCGGTTTTAAAAGTTTTTGTCTTTTTCCAGACTTTAGGTCCCTCAACTGTTGTGACACAGGTTTTAAGTAGTTTGGAGAGCCAGGCTGAAGGTGGGTTATATACTGATATCATTATCATTTTTGTCGTCTCGTTCTGTAGGGTTTCTAGCCCATCAGCAGAGAGATCACAGCAGTTCACGATGGCGGATGGATCTCTAATATAGATAGCCCTGCCATGGACAGGGCAAGAATGGGAGGCTACAAGGTGCATGCCAGGGATATACATTGGCTTTGAGCTGATGGGAGTTACTTGCAAACAATCTCTGCCTTTACGGATGACAGTCCTTCAGCTTTAAAGCTGATTATCCTAAGGGGAGGCATCTCCGAGGGCCGAGGGATTATTCTTTTACCACCCTGGGATTGTGTGGTGTATGTGTTGCAGCAGTTGGTTTCCTTTCGGATTCACAGGGGCACGACGTGAAGATCTGCGGCTTCCTCCCCCGCGCGCCACTCAGCGCCGAGGACCCGCTTGCATCAGCCTCGCCACAGGTGCTTCATACATCACGCGGCCTGTTGGTCTAGGGGTATGATTCTCGCTTCGGGTGCGAGAGGTCCCGGGTTCAATTCCCGGACAGGCCCTCCTTTAAGAAAAGGGAATAAGGAAAATGTTTGGTAAAGAAAGGGGATTTGGAGGGAGATGTTGAGTCTGTGTGGCGAAGGATGGGGAAGGTTTTTCGTGGTGTAATGATGTTTATCATTTAGTACAGGTTAATGCGTTCACGTAAATTTTCTGTGCATGGGAGTTTTATTGTCGCTTATCAACTTATCTTGATAAGTATATATGTATATATAGATAGATAGATATAGATACACATACACACACAAGATATATGTATATATGTATATATATATATATATATATATATATTATATATATATATATATATATATATATATATAGAGAGAGAGAGAAGAGAGAGAGAGAGAGAGAGAGAGAGAGAGAGTTAAAGAAAGACAGAGGGCAAAAAGAGGGATATATATATAAATATATATATATATATATATATATATATATATATGTGTGTGTGTGTGTGTGTGTGTGTGTGTGTGTGTGTGTGTGTGTGTGTGTGTGTATGTATGTATATATGTATACATACATATATATCTGTTTGTTTATAAACATATATATATATATATATATATACATATATACATATATATACATATACATATGAAATATATGTTTATACATATATATGCATATATAATATAATATATATATATATATATATATATATATATATATATTGTGTGTGTGGTGTGTGTGTGTGTGTGTGTGTGTGTGTGTGTGTGGTGTGTGTGGTGTGTGTGTGTGTATATAATATATATTTTTATAATATGGAATATGTATATATATACATAGATATGTAAGAATGTGTATACATATATAAATACATATATACATATATATGAGTGTATATATATATATATATATATATATATATATATATATATATACATATATATATA